GGTTAAAGTATAAGATAGCATAATTCCAAACTTGTCCCTGAGCTTGTCTCTCCTACCCTTCATCTCTTTGTACACCACCCGTGGCTTAAAGATTTCATCAGCTAGCTTGGGATCTTGCGTTGCTTTGCACTTGTATCCCATCGCGCTCAAGAGGTACCCCGATAGTACTCTCATGCTTATAACGGTACAGGTCATGTTCAGCATGGTGCTGGGGTTCGATCATTTTGCTTGGGTATACCGTTATATGTTGAATTGCTTGATCCACTTGCTCTTCTTCATTTCTTTAGCCATACGATAAAGGATCAATTTCGCCTGGGGGTAGAGATTCCTTTTAGGGCACTGAGGATGGTCGATAGAAGCTTACCTACACCCATTCTCAGTTTATCTCCATCGCCATTTCCTTTCATAGCTTGCACGAAGTCTCTCACCGCCTTCATGTATTCACCTTCATAGCCTGTATGTAATTCACATGTCCCGTGTGTAGCACACCCTTTTCTTCTAATTCCCTAAGTACTACATCCACTTTGTGCCCGTCTCTTTCATCTTGTTCTTTCTTCCCATAGCCATCTCCTTCGAACACGTCGATATCAGATTCTCGTTTTACTTCCACCGTCACCTCGGCATAGTTCATCATCGACTGGTTTGACATAGCGCGTGACGATCTTTCAGCAGTCGCTAAGATCCCGCCTCTTGCTAGGTTCTAATGGGTGACCATATTGCTCGTAGTTAGTTGCTTGGTACCTGCTAAACAATTGCACTCATTGAATTTATGGGTCGCGGCACAAGTTGTGGTACAGTAGTTAGCGAAATTTGTCTACTTACAGTCTTAACGTAAAACATAACAATCGACGAGTTATGTGGGCTGAAAGGGGCTGGTACGCTTGGATAAATCCCTACGCGTTAGGCCCCTTCGGGTCAGTTGTGGCTTTCGCCGAACTGATTCCTTCCAACCCATCTTCCAGAATCCTGCCTGAGCTCAGCATCTTCTAAACCTCTCTCTTCCTGTGACTTCACACCTACGGGTGAAAGACGACTCAGTACGCACTTTTACAGGTCATCGGGCGAAGTGTACGTCCGACTAGAAGAATCACGGTGCCCTCTTCTGAGGCCTACCGGCTCGTAACTTAGATAAGTCTTTGGAAAACGGGTCCATATCTTAAGTCTCTCGGGCTCGTCGTTGACGAGACCCACTACGGTCGTTTTACTGAGGTTTAACGGCTCGTCGACGACGATACTCCTTCTTTCGCTAGTAGCGAGCGCTGCCCGACCCGGGCCTTCCGTAACTATTGGCGCTACTAGTCGATACCTCTACAAGTTATGCCTCTCGAGGCTCGACGGCAGGTAAATCTATCCCACACAGGGACTATTCTTAAGTGTACGCGTGTCTTGGACTTCAAATTCTGCACTGTATTGGTGTATCTCGTCTCCTATCTCTAAACCGTTGAGTGGTCCTCTATTCTTCTACTTTTCCGTGTACGTAAACTAATTGTAATTAATCTTCGTCGATCTTCTCGCACTGTAAATTACGCTCTATCTTTGATGACCTCAAAATCGACGACCTCTGATTCGATGAACTCTTGTTCGATGACCTCGAGTGCGACGACCTCTTATTCGACAACCTCGACTTGACGACTTCAAATTCTCCGGCCACCGATTTATCAGCGATGTAAGTAGAAAGGAAGTTTTCCACTGAATCCCCACATCACATTGGACATATGGCGCTTTGACGTAGGTACAACGGCCCACATCGAACACATACATCAATATCCGAGCACTCAATTGTGCTACAGTACAAGGATGTACGCTCTACGTGCTAGGAACTTACGCAAGGATGCTCGAATCGTAGATATAATGTTTTTCTGTCGATTTTTATCGTGTCAACGAGTTACGTGGCACAACTAAATCAATAACGGTGACAAAAGATTAGCAGTCTACAAAAATTAAATGATAGGGAATTGCTAAATTCACACCCCTTTTCCTTAGATTCACACCCTTCCTTCAAAATCTTATATATAAGGTAAAGACCGAGACGGGTACTGACTCAATTGAGCTTGCCGAAGCCGCTGCAATTGGAGAGACGGCTGTCTCTGCCGATGCGTCTGACGTTGCTAGAGAGGCTATAGCTGTGACGCTTACTGCGCAAACGGAAGCCGTTGCCGAGTCTATGACGGTTGTAGAGAAGGAGAAGCCGAACGTTGGCGCTACATTGGAGGGCGCTGTCGATGTACAGGAGGCCAACGTCGAACAAGTGGATACCGATGACAAACCCGCATCTACTTCCATCACGGAGACGAAGAGCAGCTAAGGTTTGAGTGGAGAAAACGGCTACATTTCCACATGAACGTACTGTCTCCAGCTAAGTACAAACGCCGCTGACCATCACACGCAGGACCAAAGTGTACATTTTTCTCACGATGAAGTTTTAGCCGCTTTCTGGTGAGGCAAAGATCACTGCTACCACAACGTGGATACGGAAGTAGGAACTGTCGTTCGTGTATACAGTAGATCAATATCATCGTACCCGATACGCTTTTTGATACGAGGCGAAGTAAGATACGTTGCTGACATCTCGAACTTTGCTTTGATCTGCACGGTCAGCTCTGTGCCCTTGTCTCTGTATGATCGATCGACACTGGGTACTTCGTGACTTGGAACATAACCTCGTCAAGCGTAAACGCCACGATACAAAGATTCATTCGAGGACAGTTGATCACAACTGATATCCTTGCTGCCTCTCTATTGTCCGTGCTACCCGTATGTTCCTCATGAGACGTTCATTTCGGCGGCACAAGTACAGCAAGTGACTGTGGATATGTGGAGATAAGCGCGTATGAGCTGCTCGGTAAGGTGTGTCAGCGAGCGTTTTGCTGCATTCTTTGCTGCTACAACGATAAGGCTCACGAGGTCTTCGGACCGTCAAGTTGAAAATGCAAGGCGTTCCTTCATGCAGAACTCCGCCTCTGGTCCGAGACCTTGTCTACATGGATAGACAAATACTGTAGCACGTGCAGAAAACTGATCTTGAGGTCGAGTCAGTATCTCGCAGTAAAAAGATGACGTCGAATATACATGCACATGAACTGACACTGTCGCTTACTTGTTCACATGCTGCAAATTGACAACTAATTAGCTGGAATGCAGGAACCAGTTCCTTCTCGAGGTGGTCAGCATGCACTTGACCGGATCACCAGTCTCTGCTTGCATTTGTTGCACTCGTATCCAAAACGTCTGAGCTGAGATGTCGTCACACAAATTCTCTCAGTCTCTGTCTCTGTCTCTCAATGACTACACCACGTAGCTGTCAACATACGCAGTGCATGTGCTGCTATGTGTATTGTATACACTACAGAGTAATTGATCTGTACGAGAGTCGCTACTACCTGCAGACAAAGCGATCGCATTCGATGGCCATTTCCGTCCATCTTCACCTGTGTGACCTTACCACGAACGGCTCAGTCGCTGCAGTGCTGTCGCAATCGAAGCAGTTGACGTTGCCATGAGCTTTGTATTTTGTTAATAGATGCAGTGGACGTCGCTCGGTCCGTTACAGCTCAACTCTTGTGCGCATTGAACCTGTCGCGCACATTTTGCATGTTTCCACTTCGATTGCTACACACTGTCACAAGTCCTGCTGTGTGTTCTCGTTTATTCTTCTGATTACGTTCTACAACTCGTTTCGTCTCGTGTCATCCAGAATTTAAATCACTGCGCGCATGGACAGAGGCCATCTAAACACGTGCAAAAAGACTCGCAAAGCTCAGATCGACTTCTTGACCACCGCATTTGTTACTTCAGACGGCACGGTGGCGTCGGATGCTTGTAGTGTGCTTTATATGCTCGTCTTGTTAGGCTTTTTGCCCGCGCATGACCGATATATGCGCCTCGAGCCACGCGCCCTATCGTTGCCAGAACAAGGTTATCGATACTGACATTTGTGAATAGATACAGGCGTGAGTAGTATCTTATGTATATCTTACGTATTACTTGCCAATTAATGGCCTGGATTATTGAGTAATACCTTTGTCAGAAATCAAATCTTATAACAAATAGGAATTTTATATGTAAGATTTTGAAGGAAGGGTGTGAATCTAAGGAGAAGGGGTGTGAATTTAGCAATTTCCTAAAAATATTTCTGCAATCTAGCGTCGGAAAAATTATATTTATGTGCTCTTCGAATGTGTATTATCGGTTGTATAGGTAGATACGTTCGTGTAGAATCATTTCTTATGTGATCATCGGGTGTGCATTTTTCTATGGTGTGTTAAAAATTAGCATTTATATCTTGTGATTGGTTTCCCTTCTGTAATTAGCTGATTTTTTCTCCAGCCATGAAAAATACAAGCAAGAATGATTTTTTTGCTCCTATATGTTCGCGCGACACCCAGCCATTTATGGCTGATATCAAGGTTTATTCTAATTTCGTTGATATATGTGTTGCCAACTTTTCCCAAATTGTCCAAGTAAGTATTACCTGCGCGATATATATATTTTAAAAGTATCCGCTCAAGATAATAATTTGGAAGCCATTTATTTGGGCAGTTTTTACGTTGACATACAAATTACGATAAAGCAAAATGGGGTTACCTCGTTACATCCGTACTACTGTTTGGGCGTTGAGTTTATAGCACACTCTCTGCTCAATGATTGAGTGGCTAATCAGCTTCCACGTTAGTTTTGGTCAATCGTGTCATATTGCGAGCGTAGTCATTCTACTTGAATGCCTAGCGCGTACGACACCGGCGCACCAAATGCTAACACTTTCCGTCTAGTTTCTTATCGAAAGGTCAGGCAACAAGCGGAGGAATTACCAAAAGGTTGTGGTTAGGCAAACTATATCTTACGTTACTTCTACGAAGCTACGAAAAAGACCATGTATAGCTAATACCTTCACTGACTGTTCTCCCACGTGCTGCAAGAGGACCTGACGTGCGCTGCGTTTGGCTCGTCGTGTAGATAGTCAACCTCTCGCTCCGGCAACGCTCAAATCGTTCACTCGTATATTAGGTTCTCCGTCCCAGCCCTACTTCGTGCGAGTATATACTCTTATACATGGCCGTCACGACTTCATGTAGATCCTTGTATTTCTGACTCGTGTAGCCATACTCTCTGTGATAGTTCGTAACATAGTTTTTTAGGAAATCGACGACGTCTGAAAGTTCGCTCATCTTGTCACGCCCATGGAGATCATGTTGAGTAATAAAAACGCCTTTTTCCATCCGCGTCATCTCGAGAAACTCTTCCGGTGTCACCCTCGCGTTTAGATAGACCTTGACCAGCGACTCATCCAGTCTTTTTCTGTACATGAAGAACAGCTCCCGGTGTATGCGGTCGGCGTGAGTCTTCATGCCAGGATCTTTTCGAAGCTTAAGCAATGCGTTGACCGCCCCTTCAATCTCGGCTTGAAGCTCTTGTCCACGAGACTCCGTGCTGACAAGAGACTCAGCCACGATCTTGTAATCCCAGACACCCTCCTCCTTCTGCATCGTCTCGGATAGGTCGCGTAGCTTGTCCTCGACCGCCTTTCCTTCGTGATTTGTTGTGAGGCGAGACTGAGAATGGCATCATCCGTTTTGAGCAGAGCTGCGACGTGATCGACCAATGCGGGGGCGGCTTCTTCGACTTGTTGCAACGATGCCACGGTCCTCTCCTCCACATCATGCTGGCCTTCATCATCGGTTTCAATTCCGGCATCGTCGTGTGACGTCCCAGTCCTTAACGTGACGGGCAGGGTCACGTTCGTGCGAGAAAGGACAGAGGGCGTGCTACCAGCAGCGCCGTTAGCCTCTTCGTCGCCAGTGATTGTTGATCCAGCAGTTTCTGCAACAAACACCGCCAGAACTGTGAGCCTGTAAATGAGCAAGCGCATGATGGGACTAGCGCACTGCTAGGCAAATTGCAGAATGAGAGACAAGTGCTGCGGTGTACTTCCGGTCGCTATTTGTGTGGACATGCCAGGAATGTTCTTTTTCGATTCTCCGTTCCCAACGAGAACTGGTCCGGCCTTATTCTGGGCGTGCACAGGATTGTCGTACGAGTGAGGGCGGATCTGCCTTTGTCAAATAAACTGGCTTCTATCCAGATAAACAGCCGCCCGCTACCACGCACACATGTCACGTGTACATAGCTAGCTACCTGATTGATGATCCGGGCTAAACGCAGATAGGCTCATACGGTGTTCTCCAAAAGAAAGGACGACGAATTGCACTCTTTCGCGTAAGTACAAGGGGCTAAATCAATCAGAGCGGAGTCAACAATGACGCTAGACATTTATTAGTGTGCCCTATCCCAGTCACGGCAAGGTGGCCTTCAGCTCAGATGCGGCAAGATAGCCAGCAGGATAGTCGATGGGCTCCCGACCAGAAAGCTGGCAGAAGCTTGTAGCAGTGGGACTGGGACCAAACAAATCTGTTTGGCTGAAGATAGATCGGAGGTGCTGCAAAAACGGACTGCATGTACAGAGGAAGAGAATACTCGCGCACAGCAAAGCGCGGGCGCGTGTGCCTCTAAAACTGATACTGCTGGATTTGATGGGTTCTCGACCATGTTTTGCACAATTTGCATATTCCTGCTACCGGTTGATCACGGGTTTGAGTCCCCTATCCGCTTAGAGTTTCTAACGCTAGCGGGCATCCAGTAATAGCGAGCGGAAACCGATCAGCATAAATCCATGTGTGGGGAATGCCAAGAGTCGTACAATCATGGGTGTCACACACGTTATACTCCATTAAATTTTACGCCTGTAGTGTCCATAAAACCTCGTGATCTAGCAAACGTGCATATATACCTAGCGGCACCATGAGGGTGATGCGAAAACACTGTGCCAAGCTAGACGAGGTATCTCCAGCTAGACGAAGCGTACCTGACAGAACAAAAGCGGAAAAAGTGCGGCTCTCGATGTCATCGCCTAGTAGGTCACAACATGCGCGACATGACTTGACCAGCGTCGTCGGACCTATTGACACACAAAGAATGAACGACGAGAGGAGCTCCAGCAAGTCTGGTCTGAAAGTCTGGCACGGTCAGAACGATTGGCCTTACATATCTCTCATAGAATACACATCATTGAGGTGTCATATGTATGTGCTGTAGGAGAACAAGGACAATCCACTGACCCTCTTTGTCAGTTTGGTTTGCTGGCTTTTTACCGTTCGTGAATCGAGTAGAATTTGCAGAGCTCGTGAAATCGGTCGTGTAAGGTTCTTGCGTGAGTCTATGAGAAAAGCGTGGACCTCTCTCTCTGCCTCCTTTTAGTGACTGCTCGAACAAATCGCCTGGGGTTTTGACCCCAACGCGCCGTAATAAAAGACTTCCAGAGGCATGCAGGCTCTCGTTTCGTTGGCATGAATGGTCCATCGTATTCATGCTGGTTTTGCTTCACTCAAACCGGCTGTCGGCTGGCGGAAAGGAAGAGTTTATTGAGATCATGCTGGTCTTGCTTCATTCATGCCGTCTGTCGTCTTGCGAAAACGGATACTCCATCAAACTTCAACCAGGCATTCTTGATTCAAGCCGTCTGTCATCCTGCGGGAAAGGGATGGTTCATCAGATTTGCACTGGTCTTGCTTAATTCGTAGCCGTTTGTGAACGACGTACAGAGTCGCCACGAAGCAGCTGATATTTATCATGCTGAGCGTCCTACGGTAGAGTCTCCGTAATTTATTAATCTCTCATTTCATAATCGCCCTTACTTAATAAAAATCTCGAGTCCCATGTTGGGCCCAGGCCATATATTAAAAACTTCCCTAATTTTAATATTTAAGCCAGAGAAAGTTTCGCCATACAAATATGGCCACGACTAGGGGTGTGCCCACTTTTGCTTGGGGCACACCCCAATTTTGCATCAGGCACACCCGCCCTCCAAAATAGATAAAAAGGACTTCACATTTTATGGTGCAGAATAAGTAAAATAAGTCGTCACTTACTACTGCCCGATGTGTCCCTATCTTGAACGGTAAATGCACTCGTGCGCGAGATTTGATCAATCCATCTTGGCCAGGGAGGTATCCGAACGGCAATGCCTGCTGGGATCTCTACTTTCTTGAAGACGGTATACAATCTCATGGTATGATGCCAAGATCTGACCATCGACTGTGGCAACGACATCCGAGTTTTTACATGCTCACAGTCACGAGTCGTTTGCAGCCGAGCCCACAACGATTTTCACAAGTCGAGAGCGTAAAGTCATCGCGGACTTTGCTGAAGATCTCCTCATGACACACGCCGCTAACGTGGACATATTTCTGCAAGCGTGGAACAAACTTCGCGCGTGGCAGGAGGCACGCAAGTCAAGAAAGTTTTCTATTGAACGTTCGGGTATTGCGTGCAAATTGTGGTATGACTTGCACGAGTTGCCGGCGTTACGGCTTGTCGCGTGGACGAAAGAGGAAGACAAAGCGGTTCGATGATTGGCCACGGGACAAGACGACTCGAAACTGGTGAAGAAGTGGCACGAGATTGCAAAGCGTATGCCAGTGCCGGGGAAGACCAGCAGCTCATTGTCTTACTCAGTACCAGACAGCGCTGAACGCGGGGAAAATGCGGTCACCCTTTACGTCTGAAGAAGATTAGATCCTGCGTGAAGCTGTCCCGGTCTTTGGCGAAAAGTGGAACGTGGTTGCAGATTTGATGGATGGCCGTGTGTCGGAGCAGATCCGCCATCGATGCCAGCTCTTGCTTGCACCAGGTCCTCGGTGAGGCAAGTTTTAGTTGAGTGAGGATCGACAGCTGCTGCTCGCACTTCGTGCATACGTGCCAAAAGGTAGTGAGTCCAATAAGGATCAAGTGCTGTGGAACGACATTTGTCATCATGTGCCCAGGCGAACACAGCCAGCGCTTCAGGACCGATACGTTAACTGCATCAACCCGGACTTGTCGTCCCGTAAGTTCACGAAGCAGAAAGATGAGCTCATTCTTACAAGATAGTGCGAGTGGGGCATTTAGTCGCCCAGACTCTGGCCGCGGCTTGCTGCTGAGCTAAGTGGCCGCAAGAAATCTCAACTGCGTCGACGCTGGAGACAATTGTATCCAGACGCTCATGACAAACCACGTCGCGCACTGAAAGATGCAAGCAAAAGCCGGACAACAGTCATCTTCCGTCGCCGGTCAATACAAAAACTTGACCTTCGCTTCAGGAAGAAACACATCAAGCGTAGTACGTATAATGGTCTCACAGTGGAGCAAGTAGCAACCGAGTCGTTTCCGCGAGGTCGTGCAGCGGTAGGCTGCATAGTTTCGAAGAGTTGGAGATACGCGAGACCGAAGGCCAGGACGGGTCGATAGAGTACGGTCTGTAAGGTGGGCCAATGCAATGGACTTGAAACCGCGATACGTGCACAGTGCCTGAAGCCACCAAGAGGCCACTATGCTGCTGACCTATGTGACGCTTTCGAGTCTCTTTTCCGTTTGCCACGCCAAGCTTCAGTGTTCGTCCGTCGCTCGCCGTAAGTTGAGACAAGCGAGAAACCTCATGCAATGCACCACTATGATGTGCGACCTGTGACGACGGGTACCACGCAACGCAATGCTGTCGTTCGCAAGAATAGACTATTGAGGCATAAGAGGTGACATTTTGCACGCAACAGCCGGATTCGCGTGACGTCGGGAGAGGTACATGAAGACGTATGTCAAAATGCATGGACTTGGCATGTGTCCGCCGAATCAATCTCTTGAGGTACGCCAAACAATGCATACTATGCTCCACAGGAATTTCAGCTTTTTGAATGACGTCAAATCACCGTTGCGCCGCTGCAGCATCTTCAGCACCTCCGCTACTCCACAAAACCAAGTTGACCGAGAGCCAATGCGATGCCAATGATCACAACAGAAACCATCCACAGCGCGTGACTGAACCCGGACGTTCTTTTCAGCTGCAGCGGACGCTGCTTGAAAACAGCTTTGCTCTCGGCTGCCTCGGTCTTACACAGCAGACGGCCACCCCAGCGTATTTTCTCCTCCTTCTTCTGCTCTGCCACTTTTTCCTTCAGCAATGTCATGGATTTACAGATATTCACATCCGTTGGGTGGTACGTTGCAGCTCGAGTGAGCTGTTACTTAGGTTCCTCGAGGCACGGAGAAACACGTACCGCGTGCAGTATTTGAGGAATTACAGCTAACGTCTGTGACGGGGTACGTACATAAACATAAAATGTGAAATCCTTTTTATCATTTTAGGAGGGCGGAAGTGCCCGTAGCAAAAATGGGTGTGCCCCTCGCAAGAGTGAGATGTGCCCCTAGTCGTGGCCTACAAATATTAAACTACTGACGACGGATCACTACAAAAATCACCGAGAGTTTGTTGATTAAGGGATTTTTGCTGAAACTTTCCCACCTGGTCCTGCATCTTCTGAAGATCCCTGAGAACTCCTCTCCAGTCTCCTGCTAGGTTGTGTATTCTAACAAATCCCTACACGTACCATAAGTTGTGGGACGTCACTGCTTGGCAGGACAGTGCTGGTGAACTCCGGCACACCAAAACCCGAAGGCTTTAAATTTTTACTGCAGTGACCGAATATCGAACCGATGACCTCTCGCTTTGTGCTGCGGCACCACACCACTTGAGCTACAAGCTTGTGTGCGAGAATTCTGCCGAGGCGACTATATGACAACATGTAGCACCTTTCGATTCAATTCTACCCCTTAACCATGCTATTTAATAATTCCCTTATCTAATCTAAATTTGGCGGTCCCAGCTATACTAAATAAGGGGGACTCTACTGTACTAACAAAAGTTGCCGTGCACTTCCGATGTGGCACAAGTTGACAAAAACTTCGCGGCGCATGCTTGGGACTATCCGACGAATGCGCGCAAGTGTCGAGGCAAGTTTCACAATTACTGGACGGGAGTTACTGACCCCCGAGTAGCGGGGTCCAGTCGCTTCGATAACTGTGCTGATCGTAAAGCTGTGGCGGTACAGGGTCTCATGCGGGATCGGCTGTTCTTGAGATTTAAGACGATGTCGAGCCGGAGGAACGCGCTTGGGAAAGGATACGATTTCTCACGAGCTCAACCTGCGTCATACGTGTATATTGTGAGCGCAACGACGCCGTGTTTCGAGGCGTGCAGTCCATGACGTCTCAGAGCGCCCACCGCTTCTAGACGACAGGCTAACGGCAACTCCGTGCGTTCGTCCAGCGTGAAGCTCGTCCACACGCCTGACTCCTACTGTTTTCCCTAGATCCCAGCGACGACTCGCTCCTCTGGTGGACTGCTGCGAGCCTCAGCCACACCTGGCGCTGTATTCCTGGCTTAGCCGTTTTCAGACACCTTGCACATGCTTATATTGGAATAAGACCGTCATCAATCTATCTCTCTTCATTTGAAGCTGTCTTATCTCACTGTATCGCCACATCTCGATTTCGTGCGATCGCGCCGATCAGGCTTTTGCCCCTGTGGTCTCAGGCAGAATTGACCTGTAAGTCACGTGTTTTGTCGAAGTCATACCGACAAAGTTTGTAGCAACACTACATGGTAAAGCTCTGATGCTCACGCCGCTGGTCGACTGATTGCAGGAAGGACTGGAATTCCATCTTGGTTTATCGACAAACAAGTGGTAAAACGTCCAGCGTTGCAAGCTGACGCTTAGATGCAAAACCTAGTACATACGACATTCCAACTGCGTCCTTGCGCTGTTCCAAATGATGCATCGGGCACACTGACTTGCAGGGCTGCAGCAAACGTTCTTTAGCGCCAGAAGGCGTGAGAGTAGATGTGAAACAGCTGGGAAGCGACAGAAAGGCAAGAGCCGCAACCGGGCAAGTTCGAGCTCGTATTCTATTCCTCGAGGCAAATGTAGCAGGA